ACAAGCAAACTAGACAATTCGCTAATATACGAAGCCTACTCAAGACCCTATAAAACCTGAAAAAAAGAAATAAAAAAAAAACGAAAGGGGCTCTAATAGCTTCGATAATAAAAGGAAGATAGCCAGTTGTATATCACAATACTGTTTCTAGCACTATGTTTTATTTTATAATCACACATAATCTTATACTCTCAGCTCTTTTCCGAATCGCCTCCATTTGTCAGTTGTATGTCCACTCACACCTTGCTAAAGCTTATTTTCTTTAACCTATTAAAATGCTCTTTCTTAACAAATATCTTAATAAAAGAAAATTAGACTGAGTAATCATACCTTAAACATTCCTACATGAATATTGGCTACTCTGCCTCTCGTGTTTTCTTTTACTTGCTCCCTCTTTCAGCCCCCTTGAGATATGGAACAGGTTACTTCATCCTGCACCATCCTTAAAGCCTTCGATATCCCAAAGGGACATAAGGTTGCGATTTCTAGAAGCTCATACCTTTAATGGGCCTATTCTTGACCATCAGTCGCACATTCGCAACGCAACTCTCGTGAAGCGCGCCAACTATAGTACTGATTAAAACTACCTACATACATGTCTTATAAATTTTCAACCCAGCTATGTAATTTAATACAGTGTATATTGTATCATTTGTATCAATTTGATCTTGCCTGTAAACTGGCATGCCTCATGTAACAAACTGTTATTTGAGAATAAATTATTATTATTATTATTATTACTCCGATTCATAAGACTGCCTGTTACGTCCAAGTTTTGCTCGTTCCAGTTATTGAAGTACGGACTATCGATCTACTCGCAAATTACGAACCCAAATTAACAACAGAACCAAGTCCCAATTTAGATACCAAATTTATTCGTAATTCACAAGTAATCGACCAAATGTCGTTCTAATAACAATAATTATAACAATTACAAAACAAACCTTCAATTTTGTAGGTTCCCGGAGCAAAACTCCCAAATACCAAACCAAAGACAAAAGGAGCACCAAAATACCAAACCAAAGACAAACCAAAATGTCCGAAATAATGATATAAACAAACAAGTTCAAAAGTTAAGTAAAACAATTACATCCAAAAGCACAGTAAATTATTAATGTACAATAAAAGGTTTTAATCCATCAAAAGTCTTCAGTTCTCCCGTAACACTCCCGACCAAAAGAACCTTGGTTCTTTTCACAGACAATTAAATAAACAAGAATCCAAGTTTATGCATCACAAACAATCAACAACAAACACTCAATACACCAAAAAATCTCGTGATCCCTAGGACTTACACCAGTACGCCTAGGGATCCGAGTAGCTACCTACCATCTACGGCTTCAAGAAGGCACAGTTTTCTAATATCTCTTACTATGATCCCTTTTCTTGTCCTCAATTCTACCTGCCTCACTAATCTATCCCTACTTGGTAACACTCTCTGCACTAGACCTAAGGGCCATTTATTTTTCTCGGAGAACTCGGAACATATCATTACTAAGTCACCCTCTCGTATGTTCCTCTCTAGTTGGGTCCACTTATATCTACGTTGCAATAGCGAAACATATTCTTTAGACCAACGTTTCCAAAATACCTGTGCCAAGTAACTCGCCTGCTTCCATCTCTTAGAAAATCTGTCATTAGGTAGAGTGTAAGTGAATTCCTCGACATTCTCTCTCAATAGCAATAGTTTTGCCGGTGTTATGGCCTCGAAATCGTTCGAGTCGTCTGTAACGGGAACTAAAGGTCGATTGTTAATTATACGCTCAGCCTCTGTCATGAAAGTTTCAAGACATTCATCTGTTAAAGATTGTTCCTTTACAAGAGCACCCAATACCTTTCGTACAGAGCGAATCATGCGCTCCCACACTCCTCCCCAATGACTAGCAGCCGGAGGATTGAAATGCCAGTCAATTCCCTTTCTTAGTAATGCAGAGTGTATACGCTCCTGCACCCAACCCTGAAGACTTCTTCTTAGTTCACGCTCAGCTCCCACCAGATTTGATCCATTATCACTGTATATTTCTTTTGGATAGCCTCTCCTACTGACAAATCTTATTAGTGTCATGATAAATGAGTCTGTGGTGAAGCTATATGCCACCTCCAGATGCACAGCTCTCAACCTTAAGCAAGTGAATACACAACCATATCGCTTTTCAATACTTCTACCATGTTTAACCATAATGGGCCCAAAATAATCTACCCCAACTGATAAGAATGGGTAGTCACCACCTTCTATTCTGACCGGAGGCAATGGTGCCATTAGTTGTTGAATGGGACGGGCGTTCCTCCTTTTACAATAAACACAATTCTTTATCACCCTCCTCATGGCTACACCACCCCTCAGCACCCAAAATCTTTCTCGGACCGTTGCCATTACCTGTGTAGCTCCAACATGTCCCTCCAAAGTATGGTAGTGCTGTAGAATCAAATGTGTAATTGTATGCTTCGATGGTAATATTATAGGATGCTTCCTCGACTCGGGCCAGGAACTAATTTGAAGGCGGCCACCAACACATAATAATCCGTTTATCATCATTGGATTTAAAATTCGTAACGGCGAATTTTTTATCTTTACATTGCTAATGGTATCGGACAATAACATTTCAATCTCTTTCCGAAATACTATGCGTTGGACATATCGAATTAATTCTAAACAAGCGAAATTTAACTCATCAACTCTAAGCATGCCCACCTGTAGAGACAGATCAGTTCTACCAGAACGCATTACCAATAAATATCGCTTAAATCGGATTAACCACGCAGCAGCCTTAAGTAATCTAGTCCAATCTGAATAATAATTAATAAGTTGATCAACAGTGGATTCTTCAGCCATTACATGCGTCGACATTGCCTTCTTTATTTCCAAGAGATGGGGTTCAGGACATTGTACATCAGCGGCAGGCCAACACTCCTTCGGCTTCTTGAGAAAATGTGGACCTTCCTCCCAAACCTTGACATCATCAATATCAAACTTCACCCCTCTGGATGCAAAGTCTGCTATGTTTTCTTTAGAAGGTACGAATCTCCATTGGTCCACCTTAGTAAGACTGTGAATAGTCGAAATTCGATTTGCTATGAATGTTTTAAACTGGCTTTTCTCATTTCTAATATAGTGCAAGACAACCATGGAATCCGTCCAAAATTTAACCTCTGCAAACTTAATATCTAATTCTGACTGCAGTTGGTATCCCATACGAGCTGCTAAAACTGCTGCCGTAAGTTCCAAGCGCGGTATAGTTTGGACCTTCAAGGGGGCTACTCTTGCCTTAGCCGTAACAAGACGAGAACATATTTTAATGTCAGAAATGTAAGAGCGAACGTATGCTACCGCACCATACCCAGTTTCCGATGCATCACTGAAAATATGAAGTTCCAGGAGCGAGCGTTCTGATTACGGAGACAATACACAACGTGGAAAACTAACGTTCTCAACCCTCTGAAATTCACTTAAAATCTCTAACCAGCGTTTGCTTTCCTCATTCGGAATCTCTTCGTCCCATCCTAGTCCCAATTTACCTAAACGTTGAAGTAACTGCTTCATGGGAAGTATAAACGGTGCTACCAATCCCAGAGGATCATAAAGTGAGGCTACACTTGACAATATACCTCGCCTAGTGAGGGGGCGTTTCGGTATGTGAACTTTAAATTCGAACGAATCAACCATAGTATTCCAAAATAATCCCAACGTGCGTTCAGTAGGAAGTCTTTCAAAGTCAGTCTCTCTTACGGCTTCTGCTCTCTCTTCTGGATGAATTGATTCAAGAACTTGTAAACAGTTACTTATCCACTTGGTCAATCTAAATCCACCTTTTCTGAGGAGAGAACCAAGGGCCTTTGCCATCTCAATTGCGTCTTGTACATTATCAATAGAGGCTAAATAGTCGTCGACATAGAAACTCCTATCTACGACATCCTGGATATCTTCATTGAATTCCTTACCGAATATATCTACCGTCTTCTTAAGAGCAAAATTAGCGCAAAAGGGGGAGGAAACGGCTCCAAACGGATGAACTGTTAAACAATATTCCTTAGCCGTTCGTCGTATATCACCGTCTTCCCACCACAATAGACGAAATGCTCCCCTGTCTTGTCTCGGGATCTTTACTTGAAGAAACATCTCCTCGATATCAGCAGCCAACGCTACGTTACCTAATCTGAATCGCAGAAGTACACCAATTAAACTATTTACAGTATTCGGTCCTCTCAAAAGCTGGTCATTAAGAGAACAACCTTGATAGACAGCCGCACAATCAAAAACAATTCTTAATTTTCCAGGCTTTTTAGGGTTGATAACAGGATGATGAGGAATATACCAACAAACAGCATCACAGTCAAATCCCTCTTCACTAGCTTCAATGATGTAGCCCTTACTTAAATGTTTATTCATCACAACTTGATATTTCTCCAAAAGACTGTTATCTTTCATAAACCTCTTCCTTAGGCATTCTAATCTGCGTTTAGCCAGTTCCAAATTATTCGGTAGTCTTGGCTTATCATACTTCCATGGTAGACCAACTTGGAAATGACCACCCTTCAATCTAAACGAACTGTTAACTATTTCTAGAGCTTTTTTATCTTCGACAGAATATCCATTACGAAACGTATCTGCATCCTCGAACTCATGATTATATAGTCTTTCTAAATCTCGCAAAATATCATTAGTGGAACAATGACACCACTGAACTTGATGTAGAGACCTTGATACTCCCTTAGGACCTATAA